TCACTGAAAACTAAAACCTGACTGCCCAGATCTTTATTGAGATCCTAGGTTGTCTTGTAGCTGTCCTTCCTCCGCAGTTAACTAAAGAAGCCCTGCATGCTGAAACTGTGGATGACCTGATATAAGTTGCAAAAGACTCATTGCTGCAGCAAATTATGTATGGCCAACTTTCGTGCCTGGAACTGCCACTATGTGGGCCACTTAGGAAGTTCATTGAATTTCTTCATCTCTCATATTCTGCTCCAGGAAATAACCATGACAGTGGACATTCTTGCTGAAGCTTCTCTGATGACCATGCAATCGCTAAAAACACTTCAACTGAAAACCAGAAAATCCATCAGATTTCCACTGCCATTTTCAGTCTACCCTCTAAAAACATTTCCAGTCCTACTTCTAGGAATCTTCACTGGTTGCTTTCTGGACTCAAAAATTGAGTTTATATTCTGTTCCAGTCATTAATCTTTGTCTTTTTTCTTTCTTCATAGAAATCTCTCGTATTAAATACCCAATTGCTCACACCATCCAGCAAATATACTCTGCTACCAAGTTTCAGAGTTTGTTCAGCTAGTCCCTCGACAACAGAAAGCTGCTGAAATGAACTACTTGAACTAACTTTCCTATGTTGCTCAATGGGAACCCTGGTTTCCCTTGAACAAAAGGGGAGACTGACAAAGACAGCCTTAAGGTTACCCTCAGTTTGAATTAACTTGAAACAAGTTTCTTCCTGATTTTAGGTTTGACCTCCCTTTTCTTGTGCATTTACTTAAGAAACCTATTATAAATTCTGCCTCTACCTCTTTGAGATATAAATCTTTGCCCAGTCTCTTGCAAGTTTTACACACCAGGAATGTAATTCCCAAGGACCTGGGAGCTATCCTTTTGAAATGTAATCATCAAAGAAGATAGTGCCTCTATCTACTATAGGAATCTAACTTTGATAAGCAACAATTAGCAAACACAGATGGCCCAATCACATTGACCAATTTCTCTAACATTCTCTAGTACTTTTTCACTAACTAACCCTAGTGCTTAAAACCTCTCCTGCCTTTTGAATCAGCAGGCTTGAGTTCAATTTCCTTCCTCTATTGCAAAAAGTTTCCTGCCTGTTAAGTTGTCCAGTGCAATTTTTCTTTGACAGCATTCACAGCAATGTGAACACACGCAGAAAAGACTTTTGGTGTTCAGTTACTTTAACGGTCAGTCACTACAACTGAGTCCTTTAGTAGTTTTCAGTGTGGATTTGACATTATGGGCAATTATCTTTCTTACACTGTAAGGAAGAGCTAGCAGAGCTACATATTGTGTTTATTTATAAACCACAGAAGGAAAGTCATTCTTGAGGGGAGGAAAAATCCCTCCCTGTCATCAATGTGAAAGTATTTCAGACACTAAGCCTTAACATAAAATTATGTGTTTCCCCACTTCACATTTTAATACAAAGTTTGGAAAGCAATAGTTAGGCAGTTTTATGTCAGATAAATAGGATACCTTTAGCTCATTATTGAAAGCATTCATTAAAGATTAAAAACATAAGATCCTGTATAGAAATTCTAAACTGGTCCCTGGATCTTAACATTCGATTATCATTTCTAAAATCTGAAATAAACTTATTTTATGTCTAAATTGAGAGTACATTTGAAAATCAAAATTCAAAGGCATGCCTTCTAGTGCACTGACGTTGGGAAAGGGCTGTGATTATGCCTAATTTTCACCCTCTACATCACGATCTCATTGATTATGTTTCTCAGTTTGCTAAGGGTTCTGTGAGGTGATTTTCAAGATGAATATTGCTATTTGCAGGATTTCCTGAATAGGAATATTTCGGGAGTAAATTGCATAAACCAAGCGATGTGCAGTCAATTTTCACTCCAGCATAAACAATGTATTAGAACAGAGCCCTTAAGGCTTTTTTTAATTTGAGTTTCATTACACAGCTAGCTGCATTTCATCAATAAGCAAGAAGTGCCAAGCAGGCAAAACTGAGGCTGGCAGAGGGTATTATGTATTTTTCTAACAGGTGCTCAGAATTTGACTAGAGAAAACAAATGACCTGAATGGCAAGGCCTCAGGCCCTTTGTTTTAGCGGTAGCCATGGCCACCCTGGCCAAACAAAGAAGTTTCTTTAATTTTAAGAAAGGAAGTCAGGGGCCTGGCTGCTTGTACATCTACTTTCTTTTCATGAACTCATTTCTAAGATTTTTTAGAAGGCGATTTCCTTCTCTGTGTTATAAAATAGGCATGTCCTCAAAACTGTTTAAAATTTTTGTTTTTGTTTTTCGGTAGTTTAAGCAGAGGAAAGTCCATTTCCCCTTCTTTAATTGAAAAAAATGTAATCTCTTTAAGCAGAGGGCTACAGAAGACTGTAAAGACTAGAATTCCATTTCTTAAAGCAGAAAATCTGTGCAATCTTTAAAAATCATTTATTAGATAGTGAATAGAGATAGAAACCAGACAAAGAGGGATAAAGAACTAAACAAGCTATTAAATTATTCACACAGGTCACCATTTTCTAATGACAAGTTAGGGATTTGAGAATTATAGGTAGAAACTCTCAAGTCATCATATATATGGTTTCATGTTCTTTTTTCCATTGGATACAGCCACAAGCATAAGAAAAAGGCTAAAAGGATATTTTTGAAATCTGCACTCCAGAGATTAAACAAAAACTCAGAATATGCACAGAGGACTGTAGCCAAGGAGTTTTCTGCCAAGGAAAAAGCAGCTGCCTCTCCCCTCAGTGATTTAGACCAAGCTGCAGGAGGCAAATATCATGACTTTCTGAAACTATACACAGCACTAAGAGTGGTGACTTGTGGCTATGATAAAGGAAAGTGATTGACACAGCCGAGAGTGGTTTTCACTCTAAACTGCAGGGATCTGTTTGGAAGAAGCCTATGGGTCATGGACAGTCAAAGACCTAATGCAGGTTTTCAATATTTGAAAACTATTCTTGAGGGCACTATACTGGGACTAAAGTATTTTGGTTGAGTCAACAAGATCTTTCATCTTAAATATATTCCATGAACAGAAATAGCTAACATTGAGTATATTTTTAATTATAATGAAGAAGAATATTTTAACCAAAAACATATTTAAAAGTAGAGAAATGCTTTCACCTATGACTTAAATATATATATATTTCTGGTTGGGAGGAAAGAGTTTATGGGCTTTTCTCTTTGTAATACTAAATCCGGGACTCTTAAAAAATAGACTAAATCCAAGATAATTGAGAATCTTGTTGAGGTTATTTTGTATTGGGCCAAGTAAATTGAGAATCTTGTTGAGGTTATTGTGCAGTGGGTCAAGTAACTGTACTTTCTGGTTGGGATTGCTTATTGAGTAATGAAAAATCAGTATTGATGAGACGTAGTTGCACTGCTGAATAGGACCTAGGCAAATACCTGTGCGAACACTATGTACTAACTAGGTGGAAAAATTGAAAGGATTCTGGAACTGATGACTTCTCTGTGTTGATGATATGCTTTGTACTCACTCTGTCTTGCTCCTTATGACCGTGCATGACTCAAGTGCAGGTGACTGGGAGCCATGTCTTTGTATAAGACCTCTGCTGTGACATTAATGTGCAAGCTGTTATCCCTCATCCTGTATACTTTATCAAAGCTAACTAAATTTTTTACTGGGTAAAACCTATTGTGACTCATGAGTTTAATTGTCAGGCTGAATCCAAGGCCATGTCACTTGTTGAGCAGGTTGGGTTTTGAACTGGTGAAATGATGTCTACAAAATGCCATCTGCTCTTGAGAGGTAGCTATCCTAATAGTGGGTATGAATGCCAGGAAGAAGTAAGGTAAATGTAGTGGAGTTATTGTAGTTATAGCCAACCTCTCTCTACAGCCGTGTTCTCACTTAAGCCCATCATCCCCAAACGTTCATTTTCTCTTCTCTAGAATATTCTCAAACTTCTTCTTTTTTAATCTCTGACTGCTCATCTAGCTAAACGGAAACTAAATGAGATTAAAATGTGAGGTTTTATAATTCTGGGAAGTAAATAAATTTAACAATTTGAGTCAATGAATTAAAAGGAAAACTTTACCCAAAGATGTTACTGATCTTTTTTAGTCTGTTGTTGCCCTACATTTTATTAATAGGTTGTGTTTTCTATTGAATCGGCTTATCGGATTGGTTCCTTAAGGGTTTTGGCCCATAAGGAGATGCAAAGCAGAGTGGCATGTTGGGACAAGTCTTTGGAATTAGCTCCTGGGAAGAGAGAAAATACAGGAATAATCAACATGTACAGAGACACTAAAAAGGGAGATTGTGGTGTACAATCGGCAGGTTTGTCTGAAACTCTAGGATGACCTGCAGCGTCTCTACATCATTCTGAATGACTTGGTACCATCCTTATTCAGTGACTAAAAACACTTACAAGTAACAATCATATACTAGGCCCTGGACTAGGGGTGTGGGGCTTTGAGTGGGGAGCAAAGACAAATAAAAAGATGCCTTTGCACTCAAAGAAAAGTGTAATGAGATATTAAGGTACCTAAAATGAAAGTGTAAGTCAATATACAAAATCAACAGGAAATGGACATAGAGGTTTATAAGAAATTCTAACAGAGATTTCAACTCTGCTTGGGGTTGGAATCCTTGTTATCTGATTGGGTTTCTCACCTACCATCATCCCTCAGGTGATATACGATCACCCTTTCCTGTCTTCAGCAAGGTTGGATTAGCCAGAATACATGTCACCCCTGATGTTTTCTCTTAGTAATTTTCCATTCAATAACCCCACCCTGATCCATGGTTATAAATTCCTAATTGCCCATACTGTATTTGGAGTTGAGCCCATTCTCTTTCCCCCACTGCAAGACCATGTTGCAGTGGTCCCTGTGGCTATTGTGATGATACTGAATAAAGTCTTCCATACTGTGCTTTAAAAAATAATACTTTTTTCTTTAACAATAATAATAAATGAAAAACTTAGTTCGGTGATATTGTCATTCTTTTAGAAAACAATATTTAAAGTGAAAAATTCCTACCTTAATGTCAAATGATGCTGTTTGATTTGGTTGGTTGTAAATTTCCAACTGATTCCTAATAGGAGACAGCCACAGAAGCAGATTATTCAACTGCTCTTCAAGATCTTCAAACTTTTTTTCAAGCTGCCCAAGGTCTTTAATATGAGCTTCAATTTCTCCTTGTTTCTCAGGTAAAGCTCTAGAAACCTGAAAGAAAATTAAATTTTCAGAAGGCAAATGATTCTCATCATATAAATAAGAAAAGAAAAAATTGTTTTCAAAAGTTATTTGTCATGAAACATTATTTAATTTTACTTATTTTGGTCATTTTAACTGCATGATATCAATTACATATGTTACATGTTAGGATATAATTAATGGATTAGAAGTAATTTATTAATGCTCTCTAAAAATTCTGTGTTTTAAATACACTAATGCCTTTTTGGAGATTCAAAACACACATCTTACACAAATGTATACCCAACTATAACAGATAAAAGTAAAGGAGTACATTATTCCTTTATCCACTAACTTACTAAACATAATGGTGTGTTGTATATTATATGCCAGACACATTGCCTTTGCAGTTATAAAAATGAATAAGCCAAGTTATTCAGCATTAGTTCCAAGATACATAACACAGGTATTCTTAACCCCAAATTAGTGATTTATATTCAAAGAGCATTCTAAAATTAAAACCAAATTGAATTACAATTTTTGCTCGAATAACAATCATTTCTTTCACTATACTTTGTCCTACATTTCTTTTTTGTTAAGGAAAATTGTAAAAGAAAACCTTTTTATGCAAGAGGAAAACTCGTGAGGTATGCATTTTTGCAAGTTATAGTTGTGAGCCCTAGTGTAATCAAATAAACATAAGCAAATGACTGGGATGAAAAGTAAAAAGAACATATGGACTGGAGTAGAATATAACAGAATGATTATAGGTTATTTTTATTAAGGGCTTAATATATATCAAACATCATGCTTGGAAGTTTCAAATTTACTGTCTTATTTAATCCACCCCAAAACCCTATGATATAGGTACTGTTATCCAAATTTTATACATAGTTGTTGATAATGGGGTTGGAAACCATCAGATAGCTTAGGAAAACGTAGAACATGGGGTTAAACATTATTGGGTCTAGAATTAGCCTGCTGGAATTTAAATCCTGAATCTAGCGCCTGCCTAACATTTTGGCCAGGTTTTCTTTTTCAATGTCTCCTCTATAGATTGGGGACAATGACCACACCTGCTTCGTAGGGTTACCGTAAGGACTAAGTAAAGTAATCCATGAAAATAGCACAGGGCAATACTAGTCATAATATTGAATGGTAATAAAGTCATTACATATTAGTGATTATTGCTTAAGCTCAAATTAAGAGCCAAGATAAAGAAGAATAAAGCTATTTTCTTCAGAATATCAAGGGTTAAAACCAGTACACTCCCTCAGAATAAATAACGTAAACTCAAAATGACAGCTCTTCATTATATTATTAATAATACCATTCTAATATAAATATATTACATTGTAATATAAATAAAATGTTATAATATACATCGATTACATATTACCATGATGTTATGAAAAATAGAGAATATTTAAAAAGCAAATTAGGTAAATATATTGATCTCCTAGTGCATCGTTCACGCAATGCCACAAACTTTGAAACAATTGTTTTAGATACTTTAAAAATTACTCTTTGGATTTTTTTCACACCATTCTATTATTAATTAATTTATTTTTATTTTAGAGTTGTGGTGTACATGTGCGGATTTGCTACATAAGTAAATTTCATGCAGGTGAGGTCTGGGCTTCTAGCAGCGCCTACCATCAGTTGTTTTATGTTGGGGGCTAGTTGATAAGTGAAAACATGTGGTATTCAGTTATTTGTTTCTTTGATAGTTCACTTAGATTGATGGTTTCCAGATGCATCTGTGCTGCTGCAAAGGACATGATTTTGTTCTTCTTTATGGTTGCATGGTTTTCCATTGTGTATATGTACCACATTTTCCTTATCCGGTCCACTTTCAAAGGACATCTGGGCTGCTTCCATGTTTTTGCTATTGTGAATAGTGATGCAGTGAATATATGTGTAGGTGTCTTTTTGGTAGAGTGGCTTATGTTCCTCTGAGTATAATACCAGTGGGATTGTTGGATTATATGATAGTTCAATTTTTAATTCTTTGAGAAAATGCCATACTACTGACCCAAATGGTGGAACTAGCTTACATTCCCACTGACAGTGTAGGAGCATACCCTTTCTCTGCAGCCTTGCCAACACCTGTTGTTTTTTATTTGATGTTTTAATGATAGTCATCCTGACTCGTGTGAGGCGGTACCTCATTGTAGTCTTGATTTGCATTTCTCTGATGATTTGTGAAGCTGAGAATTTTTTCATATGTTTGTTATTTTAGATACTTTTTAAAGAACTCACTAATGAACATTACATTCTTCTATTGGACACAAGAGTTATAAGGTGAAAAAGAAATACTGATGAACAAAATAATCAATTAATTCATAGGAAAAAGAATATTAAACAAGACCTTATTCTATGTAAACAATATGTACATTGAAATATCTTGTAAATACATTCATACATATTGTGTAAAATGCATTGGAGTGCATGAGTAAAGGGTTAAATGCAGATTGAGAGGTCACAGGCCAGGCTGGGGCTTGACCCTAGTCTCCCACAGCACTGTTTCCTAGGAAACAATAACTTTAAGATAAATGGGAAATGCTGGACCTGCGTTTGTTGTGTGGAACTACACACGATTGGAGGAGCTGTGAACCAGTATACAAGCCTTGGGTCTATGTGACTGCTGTGGTATGAAAGATTGATGGGACGTAGAGGTGGTTTTGCCTATTTAAGGTGACCTGCACTTATCTTGCCTCTCATTCCTAAAAGCCTTTTATTGTGTGTGGGTGGAGGTGGGGCCAAAGAAGCAAAGGAAGCATAGTGCTCAGGTAGCATGGAATGTTTGTCCACAAATAGTGGATCATGATGCTGTTCTCCTTGCGTGACTTGTATCCTGCTATAATGCCAAGTAAATATTGTATAAGATGAATTAGGCCTGCCTATTTGTGTTTTGTGAGTTCAAATCCATAACTACATCTGTGGTGCTGAAGTGTGTGTGTGTGTGTGTGTGTGTGTGTGTGTGTATTGTGTGAAGGAGAGAGGTGAGCAGAGAAAGACAGAGAGAGGCTATATCAGAAATGTAATTCTATGTCTATAATACATGATCTAATAATGCCCTCAACCTATTTTTCTAGCATTTAAAGGGAGGTAACTAAACATTTTATTTTTATTGGATCATTTTCTACTCACAAGTATATGTAAAAAGCATTTTACAGCTTCAACTAACAGCGTCTAAGAGCCTCTAGATTCTGAAGCTAGTGGAGATAATAACCATCATATTTTCCTAAAATCTACAAAAGTGAGCTATGAACTCCTTTTTATCTGATCATGAAATTGTTCCCATTTCATTTAGGCTTCATGTGTAAGCATAGAAATATGTATGGCATTAAACTAAGATTGTTGGTTTCCTTATCATCCTCCCAACCTATCCTTTCCTGGATATAGAAGAAGAACAATTCCTCGTAGAAAACAATGAGTCAGATGTAACTAATATCTATAATAATGAAATGATAGCTTATAACGACACTAAGTTTTCAGCTTAATTTTGATATCACATTAGGTATATCCTCACAGACCTTGTTCTTCCCTATCATAATATCTATCTCCACTACTTAACCTGTTATTTATATTGACCTCTGTCACTGATGTCTAATTTCTGGACAAGCTGGATTCCTACACATGACAGACTTTCAGCACAATTCTGTTGAATTTAAGATAATTTCCAAATTCAAGATTAAAATTTTTGTTTGGTGTAAGAAGCAATGTATGTCCGGAATCGTCAACTGCATAAAAATGTAAATTTTTTCCTCATGTTAAACAGCTTTAATTAATGTTCCAAAAATTGGTAAACTAGACTACATAAAAATCAGACGCATTTGCATGACCAAGAAAGCCACAGGCAAAGTCAAAGACAAATGAACAACTGTAAAAAAAAGAATTGTGAAATGATGGACTAATTTTCCTAACACAAAAAAGAGCTTCTGCAAATTAATAAGAAAAAGGCCAACAACTCAAAAGAAAATTGGACAAAAGATAAGGACAGCTAACAGAAATAGAAATGCAAGTGATTTTAAACAAATGAACTGAATGAAGCTTAGCCTTGGTCATAATGAGAGAAATGAAATTGGAAATTCATCTATTGCACTGACAAAAATCCAAGTCTGAAAACACTGCTGCCAAGGCTGTGGGAAATTACAGACTCTTCTATATGGCTGGTCAAATGTGTATATTGGTGCACCCCGTGTGGAAGACAGTTTTGTGATATCTATCAAATGCATATAACCTATGACCCAGAATTTTTACTCTTAGAAATTAATTTTATAGATTTATTTCCAGAACTAAAGTCAATGCTTGTTGAGTGTAGCAGATGGTGAGTGAGGTGGGAGATTTTTCACTGTACTTTAAAATTTTTGAACAATGTAAATGCATTACTTTTGCAAAAAATAAGTTAATTAATAAGGAAAACTACTGTACTTGTTTTTCTTTTTTGCTACAAAATATTGGTTAAAATTACACTTTGTACATATTTTCAAATAAGGACTTATTATATTAATAACTAATAGGATATAATGTATCTAAAGCCATCAGTTAAAACTGCTCTGATGAATTCCCTATGGAATCAAGAACTTCTGTCACATATATTTTGTGCTCTCTCTCAGTTAGAAACAGTCTCTAGGAGTTGATGGATTATTCCAAATAGTCCATGGAAAATATGACAGGTGTGAGTAATTTATAATATGGAATAAGAATACATTTTGTATTAGTTTCTATGTTTTAAAATAATTTAGTTTTATATTTACTATTTCACATTCACATCAAAATATAGAGACAAACACTTGGTTGATAAAATGCAGTCTTTTTCTAGTAATCTTTATATATATTATAAAACCATGCTCTTCATACATGTTACCTGTGGTGAAAGAAAACAAACACATTCAGCTTCCTTATGTGTTAATTTAGTATGTAACCAAATCTTGACCTAATTTTACACAAGATTAGCTTCCTTATTGTTTCAATTTCTAAGTGTTAATTTCAAACGTGCAGAAGTTATAATATTAAGGTAAACA